ATAAATAGGGCAATCTAGAAGAAATGGACGCATTCCTGGAAAGCCACAAACTACCAAAACTGGAACAGGAAGAAATAGAAAACCTGAACAGGCCAATAACCAGGGAGGAAATTGAAGCAGTCATCAAAAACCTCCCAAGACACAAGAGTCCGGGGCCAGATGGCTTCCCAGGGGAATTCTATCAAACGTTTAAAGAAGAAATCATACCTATTCTACTAAAGCTGTTTGGAAAGAAGAAAGAGATGGAGTACTTCCAAATGCATTTTATGAGGCCAGCATCACCTTAATTCCAAAACCAGCAAAGACCCCACCAAAAAGGAGAATTATAGACCAATATCCCTGATGAACATGGATGCAAAAATTCTCAACAAGATACTAGCCAATAGGATCCAACAACACATTAAGAAAATTATTCACCATGACCAAGTAGGACTTATCCCCGGGACACAAGGCTGCTTCAACACTCGTAAAGCAATCAATGTGATTCATCATATCAGCAAGAGAAAAACCAAGAACCATATGATCTTCTCATTAGATGCAGAGAAAGCATTTGACAAAATACAGCATCCATTCCTGATCAAAACTCTTCAGAGTGTAGGGATAGAGGGAACTTTCCTCTACATCTTAAAAGCCATCTACGAAAAGCCCACAGCAAATATCATTCTCAATGGGGAAGCACTGGGAGCCTTTACCCTAAGATCAGGAACAAGACAGGGACGTCCACTCTCACCACAGCTATTCAACATAGTATTGGAAGTCCTAGCCTCAGCAATCAGACAACAAAAAGACATTAAAGGCATTCAAATTGGCAAAGAAGAAGTCAAACTCTCCCTCTTCGCCGATGACATGATACTCTACATAGAAAGCCCAAAAGCCTCCACCCCAAGATTGCTAGAACTCATACAGCAATTTGGTAGCGTGGTAGGATACAAAAATCAATGCCCAGAAATCAATGGCATTTCTATACACTAACAATGAGACTGAAGAAAGAGAAATTAAGGAGTCAATCCCATTTACAATTGCACCCAAAAGCATAAGATACCTAGGAATAAACCTAACCAAAGAGGTAAAGGATCTATAGAACACTTCTGAAAGAAATTGAGGAAGACACAAAGAGATGGAAAAATATTCCATGCTCATGGATTGGCAGAATTAATATTGTGAGAATGTCAATGTTACCCAGGGCAATTTACATGTTCAATGCAATCCCTATCAAAATACCATGGACTTTCTTCAGAGACTTAGAACAAATTATTTTAAGATTTGTGTGGAATCAGAAAAGACCCCAAATAACCAGGGGAATTTTAAAAAAGAAAACCATATCTGGGGGCATCACAATGCCAGATTTCAGGTTGTACTACAAAGCTGTGGTCATCAAGACAGTGTGGTACTGGCACAAAAACAGACACATAGATCAATGGAACAGAATAGAGAACCCAGAAGTGGACCCTGAACTTTATGGTCAACTAATATTCGATAAAGGAGGAAAGACGATCCACTGGAAGAAAGACAGTCTCTTCAATAAATGGTGCTGGGAAAATTGGACATCCACATGCAGAAGAATGAAACGGACCACTCTCTTTCACCATACACAAAGATAAACTCAAAATGGATGAAAGATCTAAATGTGAAACAAGATTCCATCAAAATCCTAGAGGAGAACACAGGCAACACCCTTTTTGAACTTGGCCACAGTAACTTCTTGCAAGATACATCGACGAAGGCCAAAGAAACAAAAGCAAAAATGAACTATTGGGACTTCATCAAGATAAGAAGCTTTTGCACAGCAAAGGATGCAGTCAACAAAACTCAAAGACAACCTACAGAATGGGAGAAGACATTTGCAAATGATGTATCAGATAAAGGGCTAGTTTCCAAAATCTATAAAGAACTTATTAAACTCAACACCAAAGAAACAAACAATCCAATCATGAAATGGGTAAAAGACATGAAGAGAAATCTCACAGAGGAAGACATAGACATGGCCAACATGCACATGAGAAAATGCTCTGCATCACTGGCCATCAGGGAAATACAAATCAAAACCACAATGAGATCCCACCTCACACCAGTGAGAATGGGGAAAATTAACAAGGCAGGAAACCACAAATGTTGGAGAGGATGCGGAGAAAAGGGAACCCTCTTACACTGTTGGTGGGAATGTGAACTGGTGCAGACACTCTGGAAAACTGTGTGGAGGGTCCTCAAAGAGTTAAAAATAGATCTGCCCCACGACCCAGCAATTGCACTCTTAGGGATTTACCCCAAAGATTCAGATGCAATGAAACTCCGGGACACCTGCACCCCGATGTTTCTAGCAGCCATGTCCACAATAGCCAAACTGTGGAAGGAGCCTCGGTGTCCATCGACAGATGAATGGATAAAGAAGATGTGGTCTATGTATACAATGGAATATTACTCAGCCATTAGAAAAGTAAGTCAATCGGAGAAGGGCAATGTATGTTCTCATTCATTTGGGGAATATAAATAAGAGTGAAAGGGAATATAAGGGAGGGGAGAAGAAATGAGTGGGAAATATCAGAAAGGGAGACTCCTAACTCTGGGAAACGAACTAGGGGTGGTGGAAGGGGAGGAGGGCGGGGGGTGGGGGTGAATGGGTGACGGGCACAGGGGGACACTTGACGGGATGAACACTGGGTGTTATTCTGTATGTTGGTAAATTGAACACCAATAAAAAATTAATTTATTAAAAAAATTAATAAAAATAAAATTTATCCAAATTATTTACATATATCACATTTATTCATTTTTATTTCTGACATTCTGTTATATGGATGTGCCAGGCTTTACTGATACATTCACCCCCTGAAGAACATCTGTGTTATTGGCAGGTTTTGGTGACTATGAAAAGAGCAGCTATGAACATTTGTGCATAGGCGTTTGTGTAAACACAGGTTTTCATTTTTCTACAGCAGGTATATGGGAGTACAGTTTCTGAGAAATATGATTTGTGTAAGCTTAGCTATATAAAAAATTGCACAACACTGTCCAGTGTAGCTGTACCATTTTGTATACCAACCAATAATTGATGCAAGTCCCGTTTGTTCTGCATCCTCACCCACACTTGGTATTATTTGCATTTTTCATTATAACTATTCTAATAAATGTGGAATAGTATCTCATTATGTTTTTTTTTAATTTTTTTAAATTTTTATTTATTTATGATAGTTACACAGTGAGAGAGAGAGAGGCAGAGACATAGGCAGAGGGAGAAGCAGGTTCCATGCACCGGGAGCCTGACGTGGGATTCGATCCCGGGTCTCCAGGATCGCGCCCTGGGCCAAAGACAAGTGCCAAACCGCCGTGCCACCCAGGGATCCCTCATTATGGTTTTAATTTTTGTTTCCCTAATAGCTCAGAATATTATTGAACTTGTTTCATAAGCCTAATTGCTTTCTGTATATCTTATTTGATGAAATATCTCAAGTCTTTGACTCTTTTTAATTGGGTCATTTGTTTTCTTATTATTGATTTTTGAGAATTCTTTATATATTCTGGATAAAAAACTTTAAAAAATACTTTTTCAGATATGTTATCTGCAAATATTTCCTTCTAATTTGCAGCTTGCTTTTCTTTTTTTCATTTTCTTAATATCTATTTTCTTTTACTTTTTTATAGCATTTTTGGTATGGGTTTTATTTCTATTAAGTAAAATTTGTCAAACTTTTCTTTTATGCATCTACATTTTTACTCATAGTTATAAAGCATTTCCTCACAGCTAGACTAAGAAGGAAAGTATGTTTTGTTTTCTTCTAAAGTATATATGGTTTTATGTTTAGTGTCCTGAACTCTTTGATGTTTATTCTTGTGTAATAATGGTATGATATTTGGATCTAATTTTATCCTTTATCAATGGTTAGCCAATTATTCCAATAATGTTACTCAAAAAGTCTTTTGCTTCCCAAAAGATATGAGATGCTATTTTCATCTCAAACCAAACTCATATTTTTTTTTAAATGTAACTCTGGACATGTTTCCCTGATTAGTTTGTCTACTTCTGCAAGGAAACCATGCTGTGTTGATTATGAAGGGTCTATATTTTAATATAATATAGGTTTATTCTTTTCCAAAGATTTCCTTATTTAAAATTGATTTTATGTCCATCTTTATGTTTATTTTTCCATATGTATTTTAGCGTGTGTTTGTTTATTCTGTTAAAAGTGCTTTGGTTCTCCAGTTATTAGTGAGTTTCTGTCTATGTTTTCCTGCATTGTTTCTTTTTTTTTTTAAGATTTTATTTATTTATTCATGAGAGACACAGAAAGAGAGGCAGAGACACAGGCAGATGGAGAAGCAGGCTCCCTGCAGGGAGCCCGATGTGGGACTGGAATCCAGGAACCCAGAGTCATGCCCTGAGCCAAAGACAGATGCTCAACCGCTGAGCCACCCAGGCATCCCTCCGGCATTGTTTCTAAGTTTATAAAGATTGCTATTGCATTATTTGATTCACAACTATTTATAATTTTTATATTTCATTATAAATTTAGGCTTGTACCTGGAAATCATGTCCTTATTTTCATGTTTAATGGTCTTAGCATTGTATTCACTTTGATATCAATATAACTACACTTGATTTATTATGGTTACCACTTACTTGATATATATGTGTGCATTTTTTTCATTTTTAGCTTTTTGGGAAAAAAATTTAAGTGTAGATCTTATAAGATATGTAGTCATTACTTGTTTTGTGAATCAAATTTAAAAAATGTTTAAAAGATGAATTAGACCTATTCACATTTATTGGTGTTATATATTTGTCTCAATTATTACATTAGTTTGATAACAGCTATTATATGCATTTCATTTTATTTGATATTTATATATATATAATGTATTTCTTTTCTTTTTTCTTCTCTAAATATGCCTTCATGCTTATGCAAGTTTACACTTTTGTTCTATTGCTTACCTTTGTATGAAAACGTTATGTCTCTATTTTCTTAATCTTTTACTAACTTGTTGATTTTTAATGTTATACATTTTTTAATATGGAACATTTCATGAATCTGCATGTCATCTTTGCACAGAGGACATCCTGATCTTCTCTGTATCATTTCAATTTTAGTATATGTGCTGCTGAAATGAGCTCTATAATGGTATGCTTAAGTGATATATCTAATGCTAGTACCGACATCAATAAACATATGCTAATTTTTTTCTTCCCCTATTTCCTTTTATTTTTTTGTTGTTGTTTATCATCAGAAACATACGACGTATGTTATATAACACTTTTTATTCCACCCTCATCCATGCATTCCTTTTCGTCCTCAATCTAGAACTAAGTGTATAAAATGTCTATTGTCACTTCTTTTATTGTTATAGACCCTACTGTCTCTTGGTTGGATGAAGTTCATCTTCTAATAGATTCCTCAGGAATGGCTCTTGGGCACACAATTCCTTGAGCTCTTGCATATTTTTGGGGGGGCTCTTATATATTTAATTCTTTCACTTAATCTGGATAGAAACCGGTTTGCTGTTTATGAAATTCTTTGTTCACACTTACATTTGAGTATTCTGAAACTGCTGTTCTCTTCCTCAAATTTTCTGGCTCTCCATAAATGCATGTGATGGAGCCACAGCCAATAGCTTGGTGGAATGTGTTATGTATTTTTGCACTTACAGGAAAATTGAAGATGTCCTCATATTTATCCTAAGAGCATGGATATTTACAGTTTTATTCTTATTATTTTTCGTCCCTTTTTTTTGGATGGGTCGGAAGGGCATGTTACAAGATATATACACACCACTACTATTACTTTAGTCATATATTACCATTATAATAATTCAGAAAATATGTAAGTAACATTATCTTGCTACCAAATATGGAGATAAACACAATATTCCTAGGTCACTGTCAAATCAACAGAGTATTTTGCATTGTGGCTTATTGGAGATAGTAATACCACTGTTTGTTTCTTTGGGCTTATGCAGCAATAAGGGCAATGCATCTGATGTAGTTGAGCTTAATGAATGCTTATTGACTGAATAAATCCTAGCTGTTGCTGCATAACTAGTCAAAGGCATAATCCTAGGGTTTATTCATGTAAAATCAATCCAGAACACCAGAAATGATGCTTAGAAATATATATATATATATTTGGCTATGTAATCTTAGATGCCAAAAACCTAACAGTCACTGAGCAGAGAATCATGCAAGTCCAACGGCTGATTTTGTTCTCAGTTTGTGCTATATACACATAAGGCTCTTTATTGAAGTATGCATAAGCCTTTATTATCTATGGAGGCAGCCTCCCTCCAGGTGGATTATTCAAAATCTAAAATGTCAGCAAGGAGTGGAAAGACCAGTCAGCCTTTAAAGTAGAGCAATAACTATCATTCTGCTTTTTCAAAGCCTTGTTACTCAGCAAACAATAATGTTCAGATGAGCAGCATCAACATAATTTAAGAATTTATCAAAATCAAAAAAAAAAATTCAGGTCACTTTCTGGACCTACTAAATTTCAATCCTAATTTTCCTAATACCCCAGGTAATTTATATGCTCATTAAAGTTTGAGAGGCACTGCTTTAAAAAAATCCATTCCAAAAAAAGATAAAGGAAGGCGTGCTTGGGTGGCTCAGTCCAACCCTTGGATTCAGCTCAGGTGGTGATCTCAGGGTCCTGAGATGGACTCCTATGTCAGGCTCCAAGCTCTGTGAGGAGGGATTTTCTCCCTCTGCCCCTCCCCCTGCTCACACACTCAATAAATAAATAAATAAATAAATAAATAAATAAATAAATAAATCTTTTTAAAGAGAGAAGGAAGAAATTATGGTTGTTTACAACTGAGTTGAATCTAGTCATAATATATCTAACTAACAAAAATGAAATGGCTGAAGTTGAACAGTTTAAGACACTAATTGCAGACTCAAAAGTCAAAGCAGCTGGGAAAGGGACAAGGTATCTTTCCATATCTAGGTATCTTTTCCTAGCATCTCTAACTATACGTTTGCTTGAGATTCTTAGGAATCTATAGAAAACACAAGCATTTCATTCTGGACCTACAAATAGCAAGCTGTATGAACTTGAAAAAAAATATTTTGCTTCTGAGCATCAATTTTCTCATGTGTGAAATAAAATGGTTGGCTAACTATTATGAGTTTGACAATAATGTGAATTTTGTCCTTACAAAAAAGAAAAATCTAGCAATTCACACCATATTAGAAATGATGAAGCTCTTCCTATCTTCCCTCATTCCTTCTTTCCCTGGCTAGGAAAGATGTCTCAAGGGCAGTGAACATTTCATTTATTTTTAAATGTTCAGAATTAAGCATAATAATGGCTCATGGAGAGTTCTTAAATGATGTTGGTTGATCAAACTGACACCAGACAGTCACTAATGTTGGAGAATTCAGGCATGTCTTACTCAGTAGATATCTTCTGGCCTCTTTTAGTGATAACTTTTGTTCCCAAGTGTTAATTCAATTCTGGATGTTTACTAAAAGTTTACAACAAGCTAAGCGGTAAAAGATATTGTTCTAGCTTAAGACTACTAACATATAACCCTTTCCATTAATTTTTATTTTCTTTTGATAATATTTCATCTTGTATAAATGTACAACAAATAACTGCAATGAAAAATGTTTACAAAAGATATGAATTTGCTGTTACATTACTTGCCTATATTTAGACATAAATACAAATACTGTTACATGGCTAATTAATTTGCTAATATTTAACTATGATGAAAATAAACATTAGTAATGAAATCACTACATAAATAAAAATATAAATACTTTAGATGCTAATTATTGACCTCTACAAATATTTGTTAGTACATATTACTTCTCAAATCTGGACTAGCAATATGAAGAAAAGTATCTTACAACCTATCATCATACTTGAAGTGTTATATACATCAAAGAAGCAAAATATTTTACCTTATATGTGCATTATTTGTACCGATATCTCAGGATGATCTGTAAATTGCCTAATTTAATTCCAGTATTGATACAGACACTAACACACAAAGATTTAATATAATTACCAGTAAGGTAATTAAATGAAATAACTAGAATCACTAATTATTCTCTTGTATCCTCTTGTAGGCTTCAGGTCCATCTAATTTTTAATATCCTGAAAATGCATAAAAATATGAAAGCACCTTTATCTGATTTTAAAAGTACCAGATTTTATTTAGAACATAAAAAAGAACACTCAGAAAAAAGGTTAAATTTGTTAGTTTTATTATTGGAAAAAAGAGGAAGGTACTAAAAAAAACTTTTTCTCAACTTACTAATTCATACCAATGTGCCTAGTACTAGCACTGAATTTTGATGGCCCCAAACAAACATAACCAGAAATTCTAATTAGGAAAAAAGAAGAAAATTTGGATGCTTCATTAATAATTAGAATGTACTCTTACAATATAACCAGAATCAGAGTTAAAAAATAATTTATATTTTAATTAACTTCTTAAATATTTGCATGCAAGTCCAGCACAACTTGATCTTCAAAGACATACTGCATCAGTATTCTCTAAATATTACTGTGGAAAGGTTTAATAAGTTTATGGTTATTATAAAGCTGGAAGTTATAGTTAATTACTTTTTCTCTCTTGCAACCTATTAATAGTCTTCATGAAAATAAATTAGTCCTTTTCCATATGCATGCATTATCACCAAGTGCAGCGATTTACTGATTACAAGGATAGAATTGAAAGGATAAGAACAGAGGCTCACATTTAGAGATAAATCCTCTCTTCTACCTCCACTTCCCACCCCCTTTGCCTGAATCTTATACTAAGTTAAAAGTTAAAACTTCAGGGTTTTCTGTTTTGTTTTGTTTTGTTACCATTCTGAATATTCATAAATGGGGCTACTAATAGTTCTAGATTTACAAGTTATGTTTAGCAAGACTCCTTTTTAATTTTTTTGCTATATTTCTGTAAGCTGTAGAAGAAAAATCTTTATGATTTCACCAAGAGTCAAATGTATGTCTCTTTGCCCTCAGCTGTTCACCATACCTGCTACACTACTCATTTCTTCTGATGGCTTTATTGTTTCACTTTCTCTTGGCTAACTTAATATTTGTACATGTATGTGTTTGTATGTTTGTGCCTAAACAATGAAATAATCTAAAGATGAAGATCAAGATTCAGTTGCTCAAACTACTGCTCATCTTAAGTTAGAAAGTTATGGATAAGCTTCCCATCTCCAAATGTGTTGTGAAGAAAATTATGCATGTTTGTAAAGTCAATTAAAAGTCTAAATGCAGTTAGAACAACAAAATTATTCTAATGAAAGACATGAAAAGAAGCAGATGAAAAAACAGGCTAGTTTTCTATTCCCTTTTTCCAAAAAAATATGCCTCCACTAATTTGAAAAAGATATATGCACCCCTATGTTTGTTGCAGCATTGTTTGTGATAGCCAAGCTATGGAAGCAACCTAAGAGCCTATCAATATATGAATGGATAAAGAAAATGTGGAATACTACTCAGCCATTAAAAAAAAGAATGAGATCTTGCCATTTGTGACAACACAGATGGATGTAGAAGATATCATGGTAAGTGAAATTAGTCAGAAACTGAAAGGCAAATACTATATAATTTCAACTATATGTGGAATCTAAAAAACAAACAAATGGTCAAATAAAGATTGAACTCTTAATTACAAGGACCAAACTTGTGCTTGCCAGAGAAAAGGCAGATAAGGGAATGGGCAAAATAGATAAAGGGGATTAAGAGGTAGAAACTCCCAGTTATGTAACAAATAAGCCAGAAAAACAAAAGTAAAGCATAGGGAATATAGTAAATAATATTGCAATAATGTTGTATGGTGACAAATGGTGACTACACTACTGTGTATAGAATTGTCGAAACTAAGTGTGAGCTACATTACACTATCACAAGATGAGCCATATTCTTTGTTTTAGTGTAATGAATACAATATTGTATTAGTTTTAGGTGTACAACATGTTGATTTATGTGTACACTACTTTTACGGATAAACTCCACTTAGCCACAAAAGATACATTTCCATTGGACAGTCCTTTAGCAGCAGCCCAATTTATCCAAGTTAATATTTTTCCTGGGATTAAACAGTAAAATCACAGCATAGTGCAAAGCCTTCTGAGCTTTGGGGTGGCAC